ACCACGTTAGAAATAATAAAGAATCTTAAGTTAAATAGTACAGTGAACTTAATTGATAGAATCTAAGTAAATAAGTCTCAGGTCAATATCTCTTAAGATATATTAGTATTTTATTTTAAATTTCAACATTCGCCAAAAATACACACTAATAATATATCCTTTATCAAATTTTAGAACTCTCTATACCGTAGAATCTATACAATATAATAATTCAAGATGAGTTTTTTAGTAAGTTTGCCACTTGTCAATCTCTCAGCCATTCTTTTATTTATATTTTTGATATAAATGGAAACTTTCTTTTAATGTATTCTCTCATTATTATTACTTTTTAATTTCTCTCATTAATTAGAATCATATTGAAAAATCATATATTAAATTAGTTGTGGCTGGCGTTTAATTTTTTAACTCTGCTTGGGCCATGATATAACTCAACCGTTGCATACCTATCCATGAAAAGGTTATAATGCTTGCATTACCAACATCAATTTCTCAACAATTTCTAAAATTCGAATTTCCAAAACTTGATTCATGAACTCGTCCATGTTTTCGGATGCCTCAAACAGCTGAATTGCATTTATTCTCATCAATAGTGTGGTACGGTGGGAGAATTGACTTGGTTGTTTTGCGTTTTATCGCAAATGTCGCGGTTAGCAAGAGTCGCCACTGACTTTTCTTTTATCCAATAAGGAAAGGTGAAAAAGTACAGGAAAGACCTTTGAGATTGTTTCTTGAGTTCGGGGGGTAGATTATGAAAAGGGAAGGTATTAGCACCCTTTTCATCTGTGGTTTTCCATGGGCTCTTAGTTACTTGCTAGATCACTTGCTTTTGTTTGAAATTGTGCTCTGTGTGGTTTTTTGAAAGTATTTTGAAAATGCATCATCGTTTAGGAAAACTTTGTAATGATTCTCGTTCGTAAGAATGTATACAAAGTGTTGATCTTTTGAAAATGTTTTTAAGTTTGAAAGATGTTTTTGAAAGTGTTGGTGTTTGTTTTGAAAATAGCAAGGATGTTTTGTTTTGAAAATGAGCAAGTAACTAGGAGCATTCTACTCACTCAAAAGTCTTTCATGTTCATTTCCTCTTTCCTTTGACATTGTTATCTTATCATTGATTTGGTAAGTAACCCTATCTTTGGATGTAAATGGGACGGGCGCGGGTCATCGTACAACCATGATTAGCAATGATGCAAGGTATCTTAGCATCTTTATTTAGGGACTAAGATCATTTTGAAAAAGGCAACATAGATAGCGTCATCGAGGGATTATAATCTTGTATTTTTGCTTGTTTTTACTAAGATACCTCACATGCATAATATGACCATTTTCATAAGGCAACCAAGTGGATTTTACCCTAGGGGTGCTAGTGTGCAAGTGTGTTGATTTTCATGCTTTGTTTAGTCTTTGATTAGGGTTTGCTATTTATTGATTTTATCTTCTCATACAAACACTAATTATTAGCATTTATATAAAGCGATAAATTGCGAAAAGTAAAATTACTACGCTATTACATCATTAGGTGAGGGGGTGTACAAATTTACAAATGGAGATTGCAAGAAAATTAAACTTAATTATCTATTACAACCATATTGAATATTGTACAAAATTGAAAATAAAATGCAAGAATATAAATGGAAAAAAAGAAATAATTTTTGTTGTTTTTATGAAATGGTTTTGTCTTGACCTAGTTAAAAAAATGATTAATTAAAATTAAATAAAATTAAACTTAAACTAATTAAGAGAAGAAATTAATTTAAAAAGAATTTTTTAGGTTTTTTTATGAAAAAGGTTGTAAATTAATAAATAAAAAAATGAAGATTAATTAATTAAAATAAATCTAAGTTCTAAATTAATTTTAACTAAGAAAATAAAATAATATACTAATTTATCCTAAGTCTAAAAAATAATTATTTAAGAAAAAAGAAATTTATTTATTTTAAGAAAATGTTTTTTTTATCTTTTTGTTTTATAAAGAAAATAAATATATATAAGTACAAAAAATAAATTTGGATTTTTTTATGATTTATGAAAATAATAATAGTAATAATAATAATAATATTAATAATAATAATAATAATAAAGAAAAATAAAATAAAAAATAAAAAAATATAGAAAAGTCCAGGGGGGTTAATCAGTAAGGCAAGGAGTATTATTGTGAGAAAAAAATGACTAGGCCCATATGAAAAGCCCAAGCGCTAAAAAACACAAAAAAAAGTCAGAAAATTGTGAAAAATGGCAAAAGGTCACGTTGGGGCTTTAACTCAGGACCTAAGGGTGAACAGACGCGCGCTTTAACCACTAGGGTAGTGATACATCCGTTAACTTATGTGAAAGGATAAATACATAACACGAAACGCACCCTGATTACACTTCATCTTCAACCTCCAACCAAAGGACCTGTATCTTCTTAATCTCTCAACAAAAATGAAAAGTTCAAACATGAAAGTTGTGACATTTCTTCTCACGAATCCAACCATGTAAATAACTTAAGCTAACAGTCAAAGATGAATGAGAATTTTTCTGGCCCTAATTTAAAACCTAAAAATTTCAGAAAACTTCAACTCTAAAATTCTCTAAGCTCAGGCCATATAAATGCAAACTATGGATATGTACAGCTTCGTGGCAATATTATCTACATTTTATCTTCACAAATCAAAGCTTAACAATGCCTAAATATGAAGATAGAAGTTCAAGAAAAATATCTCAAAACTGGAAATCGTGAAATGGATTTGAGCTTGTTTCAGGCAGTGGTGATGATCAGGTTAGCTTCCTTGGACCTCTAGGAAGCTAATGCAATGACTGGAGGGTGGCTGGAATGATCTGGAGAAGTCAAGATGAAGACCTCTATTTTTGGTTATGGAGAATGGTATAAATGGTGTTACAGTTTACAAACAGGTATTGGAATGGTTTGTGTATGATGCTAAGAAGCTTTTGGAAGTGTTAAGCCAAGAGACGCACGAGTGGTTTTGAAGATTGAAGTTCAAAGTCAAAAATGACACAAAAATGGAGGTTTTGTGAAATATGAGTTTTCAGGGAGTTTGGGAGCTTGTTCAATCATGTGTTATGTTGCAATACACTTGTATAATTATATGGAAAAGGTTGGTGCACTTGAGGAGGTCAGAAACACAAGATATTGACTTATGACTATGTTACTTGATTTTGAAGAAAAGTGACAATATGGTTTCAAGGCATAATACAAGAATGGCCTGAGTTTATGGGAGGCTCTAGATATGTTGCTTTTGCCTTTGACATTGCTTGTGATCAGAAGGAACAAGTGCTGCATTGACTTTGTGATTAAAGCTTCTTTACAAGAATGGAATGGTTACTTTGTGCCATAAATGGAAAATTTACATGCATAAAGCTTGAATCAAGTGGATAATAGCTCAAAAGCAAGTGTAATCTTCTTATTATGGATAGATCTTGAGGTTTAGAGGCCTGCAAAGCAAGATTGTGCAACATAGGTTTGAAATTGAATTCTTGTTCATCACAAAATGACTTGTATTTCAAGTTTGAAAACCCTAACTTCCTCTCTTCGATTCTACCTGCTTAAGAATGATCTAAAGGAGTTCTTTGACATTTTGGAAACTTGTAATGTTATCTACAACCCATATTTGAATCACTTTTAAAAATTCCTCTTGGAACTATATGAAAAAGTGCAATGAAGTTAGGTCAAAATCCTGACCAAAACTAGGGAAAAATTTCACTAAGTGTTCAATTTCAAGACCATGACTTTATGAATTAATAACTTGAGATCCAAGCATTTTTAGAAGAAGTTGTGTAAAGAAATGTTGTAGATATCATGGAGATCTACAACTTTCATGTTTAAAGTTTCTTCTTAATCCTCTTGCATCATGGTGAAAAATTGGCTTAAAGTTATGAAAAAACATGAAGTTTTAAACACTTAGAAAAATTTCTAAGTTATAAAACTTTGACTTTTCAAAATGAAATCTTGACTTTTTGATTTCTTGATGAATAAGTTTCATATTTTAACATGTTTAGATGAATTGTGATCTTTGACATTGAATTTTGACTAAAAAGTCAAAGTTTGACTTTTTAGTGTACATTTGACTTTTGATCAGTTGACTGAAAATTCACTATCAATCCAATTGATCTTGAGCAATGTTTTAGGTCATGCCATTAGGTAAAAATTATTCAATTGAACTCTTGAGATCATTCTTCAAACCAATTGATCACTTGTTAGGTCAAAAATCAGAAATTGGCCTTCTTCAATCAAAACCCTAATTTTGACCATTTTGCCCTTTTGATGATTTGATCAAATTTCTTGAGAAATTATGGTCCAAACTTAATCAAATGATACATATGAGTTTATAATGTTGATGGGGATAAAAAATTATGAAGTTTGACTGTAAATTGGCCATAGTTGACTTTTTCCCCAATATAGTTGATTTTTAGGTCAACTGCTCAATTGACTGAGCAAAAGTGTGATCCAAGGCTTAAAACTTGGCATGAGTAATCTTGGGGGTCCATAACGATCCATGAAAGTCATATGAAGCATTGAAAGTTCAATCATCCTTGTGCAATCTCAAACCCTAATTTTGGTCATCAGTGCTTAAGAAGGTGTCTTGAGTTGGTCAACCCTAGTGCAGTCTTGAACCAAAAGAGATCTTTGTGAGAACATATTTGATAAATGAGAGAGAAAATTTTGGGGTACAACAAATGGTTTGTGTTTTCCAGGTAATTATTTTAATTCATATTTGAATTGTTTTTGATTTGTGGGAAATCCATAAGAATTCATGAGTATAAATAGGTCAAATTCATCTCAAATTTAAAACAGATTTTAATTTTTGATTGTTGCTCATCGCGATTTGTCATCCTTATTATTGTGTTAGGTTTTGTTAATGGCTTCCGGAGGACAAAACTTTGTAAAAAAAATCACTCCTGCAAAGGAGTCGTGGAACATTGTTGTTCGAGTTATCCGCTTATGATTTTTGTTGCACAGACGCAACAACTTCATATCCATCTTAAAGTTTAGGTTTTTTTTAATGTTCGGATTTCACCGGGTATGCGTTTAACTTTTAGGTTTTTTTGTAACATTGGAATGTTTTTTTACTGCATTTTGCATCTTAAAATTTGATTTTTCTGTATTTTTTCAATGGAGGCTTATATGTTGGTGAAAAATTGGAACACAAACCCATGCTCTAAAGTCCAACTATATCAGTTATGTGCAGGTAAAGTCTCATTATTTCCCTTGAAAATTCTTATTTGAATGGGTTTTCTTCTCTGTTGAGATTCATAATCTACTTTGACAGGAACCATAAATTCAAGTATTGAAACTTTCAAGTCTGTTGATAAGAAGTATCATGTTACTGATATCACGAAATCAGTTGCAGCGGCTACAGAGGAGAGTCCTTATGCTGATATTTTTCTATTGGAAATTGATCTTAGCTCTCTTGCTTCTGTACATAGATTTTGGTATGAGTTTTTAGCTTTAGAATTTCCCCTTAATATTCTCATGTAAGTTGTTTTTTATGCTTGATCCATTAATTAAACCAAAAAAATTAGATCATATTTTTTAGGACAAACTTGGCAATCTCTGTATGAAATTTATGATATGCTACAAAATGTTGTTATTAAATTTGTTACTACTGTGTGCCTTTGGTTTGGTTTTTGTTCTTTTGGTCTTTATAAATCTTGTTATCTCACACTAAAGGTCTTAATTTGTTAACAGGAAGCAGAGAAAAGAGGCTTCTCAGCTTCAGACTGTGAACAAGAAACTAGCGGCAATGAACAAGTTATTGACGGAGGAAAATGATCGGTTGTAGAAATAGGTTTCAGAGCTAGTGAATGAGAATGGGTTTATGCGCCAGCAATTGGAACCTGTACAACCCTATCATTGTTCATTTTATGAATTGATAATTGTCATTGTTTAGGAATGTAGTTTTTATCTGATATGATTTGCGTTGTTTCAAATGTTGATTCATATTGTTACTTGATGTCATGTAATTGTAGGTCATCACAATAACTCAATTAAATGAAACCGATACAAAGCTCACATCCTTTATGTAGGAGGTTAACCTTTGGTATTGTTGAGATATGCACTGATTTAATTCTTTATCAGTCTGATTCTTTTTCTGGTTAGTCTATAATAAATCTGCTGTGTTTTCTATGAATTATGAGAATATGTATTTTCTGCACTTCACGATGGGCCCCTAGCAGGACTGACGGTACCTCGTGTTCACATTCATGTTGTCTCCCGGAAAGGTGGTGATTATCAGAAGAATGACGAGATATATGATGCAGTAAGATACATGTTTTCTCAAATGCCAAGTTGTTGATTCTAATCTACACTATCTTATTACTTATTCTTTACTTTTCGTTTTAGAATTTATTTAGATGGATGAAAAAGAGAAGGACTTGAAAGAAAAAATTGATTTTCATAAGGAGAGGAAAGACAAGAGCGTTGAAGTGATGTCAATGGACTTCTGGACTATTTGTCCAGTTTAGCATCCCCTAAAGTTCTGGACAAGGTTGATATTTTCCCAGAAGAGCTTTCCACTAATTTGCTTCACAGATCTTCTGTGTGGCTAATAACTTCAAGAAGGAAGGACCAATTAATAAGAGAATTTCTCTCTATTTCTTTCCACAAGTTTCTTCATGATTATGTTTCTGTAGTTGATTTTAGTGGTGTCAATGCTAACACCGAGATCGTATACACGTGAAGATGTGGTCGAACTTCAATGTTGTGTGGTATCAAGCCATCGTATACAGAGATTATTTATTGTTTTCATGAAGAAGGGTGAGCATATTCTGTTGAAAATAAAATAAAATTTTTATTGTTTTTACACCATGATGTTGTGACCTCTCTTCTCCAGGTTAATATTTCCATCTCTATTTCTTCATAAACTAATCCCGACATTATAAATGATGTAGTTCATGCTTAAATTATGATTTATATCTCTCTTTATGTTTGTTGAGACGGGTTGGTTTTGTATGAGTTTTAGTTTTCTGGATTTGAAATCAACAGGAAGAAAGCGATAGTGAAAAGGAGAGTAATGATGCACCAGGATCTCGAAAACCTGTGAAACGAAGGTGTTGGAGCGGTAGAGCGGCAAACAACAAAAGTTTTGGAAATATTTATCTGAGAATTTATCGTGTCCACAGAGATTGGTTATTGAATTTTCGTTCGATAAATCACTCATTAATGAGTTTGGGGATAAATGGGTTTGTAAAGAAAATGTATTAACAAAAAATAAATGTATAAAAAGGAAAAAGGAATAGCTTATCAAGGATGCATATAATCTACTCATCACAGACTTAAATTTATCGACCAATTACATTCAAACTAACAATATTCATCAATGTCACTACGTATCACTCACAACCTAAGTCATTTCTAACCCAAATTGAGAGTCTGACTATATCACCAAGGAAATGATCTCTCTACCTCCTCAACAACACAGAAGACAACTATGTAATCGCACTGACGATCTCTCAGTACAACACAACCACACAGAGGCATTAAGCTCTGATACCCAAGTAGATGTCAGCTCTAAATCTATCTCTTGAATTCAGAAACTAACAGATAATCATCCTAGATAAGAATCTAAGCAGTATATGTCTATAACAACTCAAATCCCCAGCACAGAGCAAAAATCTAAGACAACAATCCACAAAGATTTGTAAAGCAAGTTTAATATAATGCCATGGGTGACAAATATACATAAGTTCAGAGTAAATACATGTACAAACTCAACACATAAAGAATACACAAAGAGGAAGAGAAATGAACCACAAATCTATCGGTTTGTCAGCGTTGATTGATGAGCAATCCACCCCTGATCATCCGTATGCAAGCTTCAATATTGTTTTCTAAGCTCTAACTATAAAAAAAATGAAGGTTGATGGAGTTAGGATCAAAAATACCCAAAAAATATGTTTTTACCCCTAAATACGCATTTTTTACTGTCCTGCATCGCCCGACGACCAAAAAGCGCCACCCAGCGGCCAAAACTGCATTTTTTCCACACTTCAGGTCGCTCCAGAATCGCCCGGCGACCAAAAAGCGTCTCCCGATGAAAAATGATAGAAAGTTGAAAAACCAGCACAGATTTAACCATAAGTTTTGAACCGCAACTCTGATTCACGCACAGTTGGAAGCGTTGGGAAGCTTATTCAATGCTCTATCTAACAATGCCTAAATATCAATGTTTAAATACCTACAAAAATGAGATAAAATTAATTAAACTCAATGATATTTACACAATAACGCAACAAATACACTATAACATAAACTACACCGAATATACACTAAAGTTGAGGTTTATTGATAAAAAGCAAACAAACTTAGCCGATGAGTGCTAATTATTCACACTCAAATTTACAAAAATTTAGAACTAATCAAACTCTCCCCCAATTTAAAACATTGTTTGTCCTCAAACAAAGTCAAATAAACTTAAAGAAGCAAAAGACGATAATCAAAGAATCACGAATCAACAGGTTTTGAAAACAGTAAAACAAATGCAATTGTTTAAATGAAAAACAGTACACACAAAATAAACATTTACCACTAAACTACAACTATAACATAAACACAAAACAAATGCTAAATACAAAAATTATGCCAAATATTTTTAAAAAATACTAGTTGACAAATGAATTACACCTAGCAAACACAATCATCGGTAGATGAAAAATACACAAAAATGGGGTATTTTCACTCATCCAACAATTTTGTAAATAATAGACTAAATTATGCATTCATCCAAAAATTTACATTGAAAATATAAAAGCAAGAATCTCAAGGGCTTTTCATGGTTGTAATGTGGCTTGGTTAACAAACAAGTAATAAATCTTAAAGCTAATCGAAACAAAAACTTTCCTAAACCTAAGGGAGTAATTACTTCCACAAAGTTTCAAATAATAGAATTTCAATCAAACTTCTTCTTCATCCCAAATTTCAAACCAACTCACATCACTTATTCAACACAACATTATCCATACTCTTTTTGTTTTTCTTTTTCAAAGCTTTTCTTTTTTTTTCTTTCTTTTTCTATCACTTTTTTTTCATTTATTTTCTCACTTTTTTTTCTTTTTATTTTCAACCTCATATCAATCAACCAATAAATACACAATCATTTTTATCCCTAACTTGAATTCAACCATACATTAAAGTGAATACTCCCTGCTTTCTAAGGCAAGGTAAAAATTCAAATCAAAATAATGGTTGAGGGTTAAAGAAAACAACGAATCTACATCCATGCAAAAAGGGAAACTAAACACTCATAGACAAGCATTTAGCAAATACAACATGAATATCGACAAAAAGCTCAAAGGGGTTACTAATGATCATACACTCACAAGGTGAATTGACTTATTTGGCCAAGGTAGTTGTGCTTAAAATGAAACAAAAAAAAAATATGTCTTGATCATTTTCAAGCTTTCATACAATCAACATAAACAAAAGATTAAGCATAATAAATCCAGTTAAAACAAGAATTGTGGTCTCTAGCATATGTGAACAACGGAAAGCTACCTCACAAAAAGGGTAGGAACTAAAGTAATTCACAAATGAACAAGTATACAAAATAATGATGGCATAAAAATTGTAAAAAGTCTAAGTATCATGAATATGCTAAAGTATAGAAAGCGATAAACACATACCTCGAATGCGTACAAAACTTTAACAAAATCATTACCATGCATTTGCAAGTCGAAACAATCAAACTTGATAAATCACCTTAATATTCTACAAGTTACCGGACCAAAACTTGAGTGCAAACAACAAGAAGAGAATTAGAAAAATAATACTCCTACAAAATTTCAATGTACAAAATTTACACTATATACAACTGTGATACGGTGGCAGAACCGACAGTTTAATACTGGTTTTGTATTTTGTATTCGCAAATGTTGCGGTAAGCAAGAGTCGCCACCGGCTTTTCTTTTATCCAAATTAAGGAAAGGGTGAAAAGAATTAAAAAAATACCTTTTCGAGAGTTTCTGAGTAAGGGGGTAGATTATGGAAAGGGAAGGTGTTAACATCTTTTTCATCTGTAGTTATCTACGGGCTCTTAGAGGTTTGCTCATTTTGAAATATCTTTGTGCTTTGTGTGTTTAAAAAATATTTTGAAATGCCTTAGTGCGGCAATTTGCTTTGCGTTTAACTCTTGTATCAGTCCTCAAGAGTGTCAACAAAGAAAATATTTTGAAAATTGTTTTTGAAAAGTAGTATTTGTGTAAGTGCAAAAAATGTTTTTGAGCAGACTTCTAACAACAATCTACTTTGTACTAGAAAAGGTAGTTCTTTTCATCCTATCCCTTAGACAATGTTATCCTACTATTAATGAGTAGGTAGTCTCATCGTCGGATGTATGAGGGACAATCGAAGGGACGTTACAGTCACGAAGGCAATTTGGTAAGAAGCTTTAGTAACCACCCTAAAGTTCTAAGATAACTTTTAACCGAGGCAACATCGAGAGGGTCATCGAGGGACTTATGATCTTTTTGAACCAGAGGGTAGCCACTAAAACCTCTCACGTTTCGAGATTTGTGACTATTTTTCGAAGGCAACCGAAGTGGGCATACCCTAGAGGTGTACATGTGCAATTGTGTGGGTTTTCAGTTATTTTAGTCTTGTGTTAAGTGTACTAACGTTTGATTTCAGTCTTGCCATACACGCCTAGTTACTAGCAGTTAATATTTTGTAGGAAATAAAGTGCAAAAGTATAAACCTACACTATTACATGGCTTGGGGGGGGGGGGGTATTTACAATATACAAAACTGGGGGAAAGGTAAAATAAAGAAAGCGGTAAAAATCCTAATTAGTTTATTACATCCAGTATACAGGTACAATAATGAATAGAAATTGCAAAAATAAATAATGCGCGTGTGTGGTACGGTGGGAGAACTGACTTGGGATTTGCGTTTGTGTTCGCAAATGTTGCGGTTTAGCAAGAGTCGCCACCGACTTTTTATTTTATCCTAAGGAAAGGTCAAAAAGCACAGGAAAGACCTTTGAGATGTTTTCGTGGGTTCGGGGGGTAGATTATGAAAAAGGAAGGTGCTAGCACCCTTTTCATCCATGGTTTTCCATGGGCTCTTAGTTACTTGTTTTAGATCACTTGCTTTTGTTTGAATGTGCTTGTGGTGTGTGTGGTTTTGAAAATGTGTTGAAAAAGATGCCTTGTCTTGGCAACCTTTGTAACAATTCTTATTTGAATGTTTTACAAAGGTGTTTGTCTTTTTGAAAAGATAATTCAATGTTTTTGAAAGTTGTTTTGAAGTTGTGTTGTGATGTGTGTTTGAAAAATGGCAAGGATGTTTTTCAAGTTTGATCAAGTAACTAAGAGCTATCTACCCTAATTTTACTCAAAGATCTTTCTTATGTTTTTAACCCTTTTAACAGTGTTTTTTCACCATTGTGTTTGATGAACAACCTTGTGTTAGGATGTTTACGGGACAGGCGCGGGTCATCGTATAGACCATGATAGCAATTGTGTCAAATATCTTTGGCAATTTTCCGAGGGACTAGATCATTTTGTATAGGCAACCAAGATAGCGTCATCGAGGGACTATGATCTTTTGTTTTATTTTTGTTTTGCCAAAGTACCCAACATGCATACCATGGCCATTTTATTTTAGGTAACCGAGTGGAGATACCCTAAGGGGTGTTTGTGTGCAAGTGTGTTTTATTGCATGCTTTTGTCTTTGATTAGGATTATCTATTTTATTGTTTTTATCTTGCCATACATCCCCTATTTTACTAGCATTTGTACAAAGTAAATAAAATGCAGAAAGATAAAATCCTACGCTATTACAACCATATCGAAAGGCATAAAAATATGAAGGAAAAAATAAGATAAAAGTAAGAAAAATGAGTGTCTTTCGATTGGGGGGAAGCAGCCTTCGATTTGCCTTCTGTTGGCCTCCTTCGATTGGGGCTGACAACAGCAAAGTCACGTCTTTCGATTGGGCCTTGGCAGGGGCGAGGTCCTGTCCTTCGATTGGGCAAAGGCAACAGCAAGTTGTATCCTTCGACTGGGGCCTGGAAGTCAGTGAGGGAATGCCTTTCGATTAGGGGCTGGAAGTCAGTGAAGGCATGCTTTTCGTTTGGGCCTAGAGTCAGTGAGGAAGCCTGAGGCTTCGTTTCATATTCTTGTTTCCTTGCTTGAGGCTGGAACGTGTGCTGGGCCTTTAAAT